ACAGGGTCTGTTTCACTTGCCACATGCTACCCATGCCCACTGCTGGCCGTTTATGGTGTCTCTGAAGCTGGAGTGGGGTGTGCGCTCAGTGACTTTAAAAGGGCGAAAGGTCGAATTTCCCAGAGCTCTGGTAGCTGGTGATCACCCAGCAGGTGGCAGATGCCTGCAGGCCAGCTCTTGCTCTCCTGGGTACTCCGGCTGGTTCGTCCGTGACCCCATCCCCCCAGAGGTTCCCCTGCCCCACTCCTTGCACTGTCCACTTCTGACCCCTCCCATTGCACGCAGCAGTCCCCTCCCCACGGCCCCTTGTGGTGGCTCCTCCCTCCCTGTCGGCCAGTTCTCGTGAGCAGAAAGTCACCAGACGGCTCTTCCCAGCTACCTTCCACAGCCTCCACTTGGTCCCCTGAAAAATATCAGTGCTAATTCCTAGACAGGCCAACCCTCTCACCCCTCTGTCTGTTGGGGGTGGCAGCAGGCTGGCTGGCAGGGACAGGGCGGGGCCTGGAGCTGCAGCCTGAGAGCAAGCAACTGAGCTCCGGGAACTGCCGAGAGGCAAGAGATTGAGAGGGTAAGTGCCAGGATCTTGGCCTTGGAGAGCTGGGTTCAAGTCCCAGCTGGGTGCTGCAGGCCCAAGCAGGTTAGGTGACCTCCCTGGGTTCCAGCTTCCTCACCTGTAAAATGTGGGTAACAATCCTTAGACTTGTACCCCACTCAGGGCATGCTGTGATCGCTGTTCACCATTCTCCCCTCTGCATATTATTTCATTGGCTTCTCAGATCAACCATAAGTGGTGGCCCATTTTACTGGACCAGAGTGTGAACCCACAGCTAGTCTGCCGATGTCTGTACAGCCTCTCAGACCAGGCCTGAGCACCTTCGTGGACTGTGTGGCTACAGTCTGCCCTGATGGGGCTGTGCCCTAGACGGGAGAGGTTGGTCTCTTCCCACTTCCTACTGAGGAAACCAAGTCCCACATTGAGAAATAGCATGCCCAGACCCTGGTGTCTGTGGCCCAGCCTCAGCAGCCACCAAAACTGATATGGGTAGGGGCACCTGGGTGGCTTAGTTGGGTAAGTGTCAGACTTAGGCTCATGGCGTGATCTCATGGTTCATGAGTTCGAGCCCCACACTGGGCTCTCCGCTGACAGAACAGAGCTGGCTTCAAATCCTTTGCCCCCACCCTCTCTGCTTTATCTCTCTCTCTCTAAAATAAATAAAACATTTAAGAAAGAAGAGTGATATGGGTAGGAAAAGGGGGAAGTCATGCTGGGTGCAAAGGGTGTTTTTCTATGCCCCCAGTGGGAGCATGGCAGGGCCCAGCCCAGAGCACGGGCCTGGGCAAGGGCTGACGCCTAGACTCACCTAAAGATGGAAGCAGATGGGCTGTTCCTGGGCAGAACAGAGTGCCCAGGTCTTCCCCACACTGCCTTGAGGCTGAGGCAGGAATAGGATTTCACTTGCCCAGAGCTTTCCAGAGCATTTCCTTCTAGAGTCTTGGGAGACATCCTGCAGCCCTGATGTGGGGAAGGGAGGCCCAAAGTAGCCACACAAGTGTGATGGCACGTCCCCTCGGCTTGTGCAGGCCTCCTGAAGGAGGGGACGGTAGCTCTCGCCACCTGGCGTCACACCCCAGAATGGCTTGCTCTGGGTGCCACTTGGCGGGGGTGGGGCTTGGCCTCTGGCTGCTTGCTGCTTCTTGGTGTGCACATCTGCAGAGCCAGCGTGGCCCTTCTCCAGGGAAGAGCTTCTGCGACCCAGCCCGGGCACAGACCGGGTCTCTGTGAATCCATGGTAACTGAATGATAGCCCAAAATACAGTTTTGATTTAAGCTGGAAAAAATTCATTTTCAAAAGTTATTTGTTAAAGTTATTTTTTGATGTTTCAAAATGAAGAACAGTGCCGGACTATCTACTGAATGACTGATGTAGGTATGAGGGTTTGGCGACAGGCCAGCCTAGATTCATATTCCAGATTCTGACCTTTACCATTTGAGTGATCTTGGGTAGCCACCTCCCCTCTCTGGGGCCTCTGCCTTGCCGCCCTTACCTCCCTGGGTGCGTGGCATTTTCAGTGTGTGATGTTCACAGTGCAGCATGTGGCCGGTAGACGTCACTAAGATCAAGGCCATGGGTGGGTTTCAGGCAACAGAGGCTGTGAGTAGATAGAAGGAGGTGAGAGGCCCTGCCTCGTGGCTTCTGCATTGTGGAAATGTCAGCCAGTAAAGGAGGAGGGCTGGCGTGGAGCCCTGGGTAGGTGCTATGAAGGAAGGCCAGGGTGGGCCCCGGCAGGGGTGACTGTGCAGCCGGGCACTGGACCTGAACTTACAGAACTGATTGATTATCTAATTGAAAGATTGGTTCATTCATTTCCTCCACAGCAGACCAAGCAGGCCATTGCCCAGCTCTGAACAATGAGTCAAAACCCATTCCCTGGAGGAGGTGCTGGGGAAGGGGCTAAGGAGGAGGATGCAGGCTGGGGGAGGGGGTGCAGGGCCGTGCAGTGCTGGGAGGGAGCGGCCCTCGGGGAACGAGGCCACACTCGGAACAATTCCACTTCCTCGGAACAATCTAGTCACTTGTGACGGTGGCTCACTCGGCCACAGCCACTGCTAGCACCACTGTGGCTCTGAGCCTAAGCTAGACAACATTCTTGAGCGCTCTGGGAACCCGAGCTCCTGGGGACCCAGCCTGCAGGGCCCCTTGCTACCTTCTGCCTCCAACAGAATGGCCAATGTAGGTTTGGTTTTGCTTCTTTCCACCCTGGGAGTCTCAGTAAGGACAGAGGGGCTCCCCTGGCGAGTTGGGGTTGGGCGGGGGCCTGGGGGGGAAGAGCAGAGCGGGAAAGGGGGGGAGGGGTACAGTCGTGTTGTTCTGCTAGCTCTGCCCTCTCTCTACTTCGTGGAGTAGTGACAGGGCCCCTGCAAGTGCACATTTTTGTCTTCCCTCTGCCTATGTTTCTCTGGGCTCCAGTTTCCCTGAGGACGGTGGGGGGCCGGGGGGGAGGGAGGGAGGCTCTGAACAAGATGCTTCCCGTTTTTGGTGGTCTGTGGAATTCAGTCCTGAATAGTGGTGTCCAGTTCAGAGTGCCTCCCTTGTGGGGAGAGGGCAGGAGACTGAGGCTCCAGATCCCTTTTCCTCCTCGGCTGTCATAGCCTCTGCCGATGGGGGGGGGGGGGGGGGGGGGGAGAGAGGGAGGGCAGAGGCTGAGGGCAGAAAGCCAGGGTCTGCTGGCCAGTTGGCAGACAAATGGTTACTCACAAAAGCCACAAAATGAAAGCCTGGTCCAGCCACAGCAGCCTAGAAATGGGGGCTGATGTCTGATCCAGGACAGGCCGGCCGGGGCTAGTTAGGGGGACAACGTCTTTCCCCTGGGGCCCCGAATAGCCAGCCGGTGCCGAGATTTGCTACTTGAACCCATTGGGCAGCTGAGTCTGGGCCTCAGGATTTCTAGGGATGCTTATGGAGGAGGGAATAAGCTACCTACAGGCCTGGAGATTCCACTATTTTGAGTTTGCTATTTTGAGTTTGCTGAGTGGGCTGAGCCTGGCACAGGGCCCGTTGGGGCAATTTGTGGACTCTCTACCCTTTCTACCATGTCTGAATCTACTTAGACCTAGAAGAGCAGCACCCTCTCTTCCTGAACTTGTCTCAAATGCCTCTTCCTGCGGGAAGCTCTCCTTGATTTAGACTCCTCTCCTGACTCCCTACATGCCCATACACAGCAATGGAGGAAAGACATGGGGTAGGGAAAGGGGCACCATCAGCTCTTGACTCGAAGATGGGCTAGACTTGCCTCCCCCAAGCTGTGGCCTTGGGAGAGCCCCACTGATTCGCTGAGGTCTGACATGGGGCTATGCTATGTGCACTCAGGAGAGCAGAGACCCTTTCTCCAGTCTCTGAGGCTTTTGGGGGTCCATGGGGATGGAAAAGAAGACAGACAAGGTGCTTGCCTCAATTTACAGTTGCCTGGCCAAGCATCCTAGGGGGTGGGAGGGTCCTTCCCCAAGACTCGATGTGAACACCAGGCTCAGGTAATAGACACAGAAGCCCCTGCTCTGAGCACAATGTTTCACTACTTTCTCTTATGATCAATCTCCCTTCCCTGCCAATCAGCCACGTGTGCAGCCTGGCCCCAAAACCCACTCCCTAGACCTAGACCCTAAGTCCAGCACCAGCAGCTCAGAATGCATTCCAGGGGTGAGAAAGGAGAATCAGATTGTTCAGGAGCCCCGGGACAGGCTGAGCTAGTGCCAGGCAGTAGAGGGGCAGTTGTGTCCAGGAGAACTCTCCAGAATGCCCCTCTCTCCACTGTCCTGTTTCAGGGCTGGCCCTCAGGTGCTAGGCATGTACCAGGTGTCCTGGGTGTGTTAGGGTGTGCCCGCCTCGCCAGGTGGGTGCAAGACAGTTATGTGAGCCTATAAGGAGCCTGGCGTAGCATCTGGCACACGGCTGTTGATAGAGCACGATTGGTGCAGTTTTTTGCAGAGGCCGTGAGGTGTAGAGGTAGAGAGCACGAACCAGAGCCTGACAGCCTGGGTCCAATGCCAGGCCTACCACCGCCAAGCTGTGTCACTATGGGCACACTGGACCCATCTGTGCCTCAGTTTACTCACTTGGACACCAAGATAATAGGGTTATTGGGAATGTGACAGAAACAAGCCCTGCTGGGCACCCCAGAGGCTGTCATTACCAGGCCTAGGAGGCAGCCCTCCCCACTGCCATCTTGTGTGGGGCTGATATGTCCTGGACTGTGAGCACTATGTTGTGTAGGGCTCACACACCTGGCACTGCCACAGACACGGTGCGAAACCACATCCTGAAGCCCAAGAGCTTGTCTTTGAGTGGAGAATGGAGGCGGACAGGCAGGGCAGACCCCAGACGCTGGACAGAGACTTTTCCTGGATGTGTCAGCAGAGTCCTTGCCAGGACCCCCAACTCAGTGACCTCCCAACCCACACAGCCAGCCGCGACACTCACGCGTACCCCTGTCCCGTGTTTCAGTGCAGGGACTTCACGGCCCACACAGGCTATGAGGTGTTGCTGCAGCGGCTGCTCGACGGCAGGAAGATGTGCAAGGATGTGGAGGAGCTGCTGAGGCAGAGGTGAGCCAGCAGCCAGACGAGGGCCTGCAGGGTGTGGGCTGTCCTCCTGACTGTGGGAGCAGCAGAGGTCCCCCACAGCCCGGCCACCCTGCTGTTGGGAGTGTGACTCCTGTCTTTCCCAGCCGGGGCCTCCCCTCACCGGCAAATGATCTGATGTCCCCTCAGATGTGCGGGTATTTGGCCAACATGTATTTGGAAGGAGAACTAGGAGCCCAGCTTTGCCGAGGAGGGGCCTGCCCCAAGAGGCCGAGCGGGTGGACCCCCAGATCCCACTGCAGACGTCTAAGGGAACCGCAGCCAGAAGAAGTGGAGGGACAGTGACCATGCTTTGTTCTTGCAGGGCCCAAGCAGAGGAGCGGTATGGGAAGGAGCTGGTGCAGATTGCCCGGAAGGCAGGCGGCCAGACAGAGATCAAGTAAGAGGTCCCATGCCCTGGGCTCCCTCCTCCTTGGCCAGGTGCTTTCTGGGCCCTTGGATGGGGCTTAGGACTTCCTGGCTTGAGGTAGACTGAAGAGGGTCTGGAAGGGTCTGGATGGCTCCAGGGTGGTGATGCCTGGGGGACAAATCTCTTGGCTTACAGGGCATTCTGGGTCAGGTTCTGTTGGGTGGAGAAAACCCTGGTGTCTGAGTGCCGAGAGGACTCTGGGCAGGGGGCAGGGGCCGTCTGTCCCCAGGCATTTGCAACACAGCCAGAGGCACCTAAACAACCTCCACGCAAGTCCCGAGAGCCTTGAGGGCCAGGTGGTGGGCCCTCCACTCACTGCCTGAGTCCCCCTGTGGCCTTGGCTTAGCCTGGGCTTCGAGGGGACAGGTGTGGCCAGAGGCAGTGGCGGGAGGGGTTACACCTGGGTTCCAGGGACATCTCCTCAGCCATCAGTTGTGTGATTTCAGGCTGGCAGCTGACACGCTCTGTGCCTCCATTTCCTTATCAGTGAGCAGAATAATAATACAACCTTCGTAAATGGATTAGCAGAGTCCAGGGGCTTGGCTCAGGCCTGGCTTGGAGGGGAGACGACAGGAGTACTTCTGCTGTGAAGCAGGGGTCTTCTCCAGCCCCAAGGCCTGGGTCCCTGTGTGCACTGGGGATGGGGAGGCAGCAGGGAGAGCACGATGATTTGAGGGCCCCTGAAGGGCTTTCAGCAGACTGGAGAGGCTGCTTTGTGAGGGTGTGGACTCTCCCCCTGGGTGAGCACCTCCTACCCAGGGCCCTGACTACGGGGCCTGCAGCTGTCATAGCTGCCCCTTGGAGGTCAAGCCCATGAGTGTCTGGCTCTGCACAAGGAGGCTGTCAGCTCCGAAACTTGGAACCAACCCACGTTCCCTCATTTTGAGCCCTGAGTATCCAACACTCTCTGGGTCTTTTAAAGACATGGGGCACCCTGGCTGGATCTTGCTTCAAAACTGGAGCCAGAGAAAGCATGGGAAGAGCTGGAGGAAGGTTTAGAAGTGGTGTGAGCCAGGGGAGATTAATGCTCAATGCCCAAAGGTTTGTGCATTGGGCCAGAAAGCATGCACACAGCCCTAGAAGTAAGAATGCATGAAGTCTAGTCCCTGCTTGGCCTTTGTGAACTACGTGATGTGACCATGGGCAAGTTGAGTTTGGTTCTCATTTGCCCATTCTAGTGGGCTGTTTATAGATAAACAGGGCAGGGCTGGGGGTAGATGCAGGCTGGGTGCCGAGGAGGGCTCAGGACATGGTAAGGAATGAATGAAAGTCTGATGGAACCCTTTGTTGTCTTCCCTGGGGAAGAAGGGTTAAGGGAGTACGACCCAGGGGGCATCCCTGTCTGCTTGCTGGCCACCCAAACCAGATAGAAAAGGTCAACTTTCCTAGAGGTGGGATGGAGAGGGTGCTCCAGGCAGGGCCATGACAGGAGACCAGGCTGTAGGGCATACTCATACTCAGAAGCCTGTGAGTCACTGGGGATTTAAACAGGGAAGGAGAAGCCACTGACACAGAACAAAATGGAAAGGGAACCAGGTGGATGGCAGGAAATGAGGGAGATACACTGTATCTTACCCCATTGTAAGACTAGGAAGTGGCCAGGGCAATGCTCTAGGTGGTCCTGATCCCCTGCATGGTTGTAAGAGGCCAAGTGGGGCCAGGTCTGCCCTGCCTCATATACTGTGTGACAGTGGGGTGGTCACAGCCCCTCTCTGACTCCTGTGCTGGGCTGTGAAAAGGGAGTCGCCCCCAGGAGCTGCTCTGGAGTCACGATGTCAAGCAGAGAGCACCAGGCCATGGCAATGCAGTGGGGGTTCTTTATGGTCTTACAGGCCCCTGTGTAGGTCAGATAAGTTGGGCTTACCCTATTTAGTTTAGGCTGGGAAGCCTGACCCAGAGGCCTAGACCATTTCCTTTGAGGCCCAGCCCCTCGTTGGCCCAGAAAGCCAGTGTCACTGGAGGGGCAGCTTCATCTAAGGTGGGAGCATCAGTGGTAGACCCCCCAGGCCCGAGCAAGGGGGAGAGTCACGGTCTGCCTTCCTGCCCACCAAGGAGAAGCTGGAGCCTAGGCCAGGAGTGCCAGGCCCCATGGCTCAGCCTGCCCAGCAGCAGGGAGGCAGAAATAAAACCCACGGCCCAGTACACACACTCTCAGTGTAGGCGGGGAATGCTGGTGGTCAGGGCATTCTACCAGCAGGTGGTCAGGGCAGGGAGGACTGGGGAGGGCTCCTCCTGGGGGAGGCAGAGACAGAGGGGAGATGTCTTCCTGACAGAGGCCTTGCTGAAGGAAGGCAAGGTCAGGCCACATTCAGAGCCAGTGGGTAACAGGGGCAGGAGCTGAACCCATCTCAGTTCACCTGCTGCCTCCCTGAAGGTCATGTCCTATGCAGCTCCCAGCTCAGCTGACTGTACACACAAGGCACTCAGTAAGTGTTTCTGTTGGGCCATGGGGCATGTACTAGGACTAATGAGACTCTTCAGTCATTCCTTTAATTGTGGGCCAAGTATCCATCACCCACCCATTTATTCAGCAAGCATTTATGGAGCACCCACTACGTGTCATGCCCTAGGCTGAGCTAGGAGGACTCAGACATTTTAAAATAATGTAAAACAAATGGTCCAACCAACCGGAAGCCAGACTAACACGCTGAGCGGAACCTTCCCAATCTTTTGCATTAGAACCTCCCTTTAGGGCCTTCTCATGCCCCACCTCCTCCAGGAAGTCTTCCCAGATGCTCAGCTTTGTGTGACTGTCAGGGTCTTGAATTAGACCAGATCATGCTGTCCCCTACCAACCTGGAGGGCTTTCTGTGGGAAGTGTGAAGGGTGGCCATGACAACATGGGTCACCTCCTCATTTTCACGGAGACTTGTGGGGGCTTGGGAATGGCCTGCTATTCAGCATGGGGCTGACAGCCCATCCTCCAGGGCCCATCCCCTGGTAGGGTGGAACTCCCAGCCTCCCTGTGGCCAACCCCTGCTGGGTCCCGTGAGATTCTCATTCTTAGCTCTGTGGAGGGCAAGTAGAGGGCTGGGGGTGCATGGCTGGGCAGGAGCAAATGGGGAGCACAAAAGCTGGGGTGGGTGAGTGACCCGAGAGGAAGCCTAGTGAGAGCAAAGACGGCAGAGTGGGCAGCCTCCCTGGCCTCTGCTGCCCAAAGACACAGTGTTTCTGCATGATCCTCTGACCGCAGACCGGCCAGAAACCTCTCTCAGGCCTGGAGGCTCGGCCATGTACATTCAAGGGCAGTTCCCCCCAATCTCAAGTAATTTCTAACATTCACTTCCTTCACACACAGACTCAGCAAACGCCTCCTGGGCAGTGGCAATGGAGGACACACACGTGAGACCCAGTCCCCAAACCAAGGGATCCCCACAAGCCCTCTCAGCGGGCTTGTGCAAGCCCTCTCAGTGCATTTTAAAGACCTCATTCAGTGAGCAAAGGGCTTATCCACTGCATGTCCCGCTCTGCAGAAAGTTCGCCTGGACTCTCCCATCCAGCCTCCAGGTCTTTGCTCCCATTTCTCCCCGTCCAGTCCTCATCTGGCCCCGGGTAGGGTCTGGGGTGCCACGTGCTCCCAGCAGCTGCACAGGGCAGGCGTTCTGGAAATGGAGGATATCAGGGCTGAGAGGGCTGGAGCCAACTTCCCGTGAGCCCCTGGGCAGCTACCACAGGCCAGGACAGCTCCTCAAGGGCAGCGGATTTGAACCCCCGCCTCACTGTCTCACCGCTGCCTAAAATGCTGTGCTTTTCCTGTCAGAAGGGGTTTTTGGTTTTTTCATGGTCTCTCTCCTGAGCTCAGAAAATGAAGACATGCTGGTGATGTTAGAGGGTGAGAGGCAGGCCCTGTCCTCTGACACCAGCCCAGTGAGGCCCAGCCTCCAGCACAGGGTGAGGGGGTGGGTGACAAGAGTCCTGTCAGGAGCCTCCTGGCCAGCAGGTGGGGGCACGGGGCAGGGGGTAGACGTGTCTGGGCAGGGGCGTGAGGTGGGGGGAGGATATGGAAGACGTTTATATTGGCGATTTGGACCAATTGTCTTAGCATGGCATTTCAGACTCTCTCCTGAGAGCCAAGTCAAAAAGGGCAATGGGATGAGTCACCCACGAGGACACTGGTGACAGGATAAAGGCCTGCATGGGGCCCCGTCCTTGCCGTATGACAGAGATACAATAGAAGAGAAGCTCTCAGAGGTCCTAGTGGTGAGAGGGAGGCAAGCCATGAGGTGCTATCTTTTCTGGGTCTCATGGAGCAGAGACAGACTTCAAATGCTCCCCAGATCCTTCACAAGATTAGAGCTGAAAGTTGCTCTCCAGGGGAGAATCGTGCCTAACCCACAGTGGGTTGCCTCTGGTCCCAGGAAAAGTGAAGCGCCCCCTCCCCACCGAACTGAGGCTACCTTCTTGACCAAGGCCAAGACAGAGAGGTGGTGTCCTGGGCCCTACTGTGTGAGTGGAGCTGTAGTGGTCTAGAGGTCCCCAGCACCAGGAATTCGTGGGGCTGGGCAGGAAGGACCGCAGCCCAGAGTTGGGCAGGTGGGGAACATGGAGTGCTCACAGCCTGCAACTCCACCTTCCAGCCCGCTTCCAGATGATGGTCATGCTCTGGTCTTCGGATGAGCCTTTGAGATCCACTTAGTTTAGGGCAAGGGGTCTGGCATTGACCAGACAGAACCCACAGTTCTTTTCTAGGCCTGGATCCCTATGGCTCCTACCAGGCTGCTGATCCTCGTTGGCCTCAGTTTCTCTAACTGTCCAATGAGAGGGAGCCCCCCTAGAAAGCCTGCCTTGCAGGGACTGGGGGAGTCACTGGCGGGAACGCAGGAGTCCAGGGCTGTCCAGGGCGGGCGTCATGAGGCCATATGGCCACCAGGGGGCATGTGTGCTGCTTGGCAGAGAGGCAGGGAGGGAAGGGGAAGGGAGCACAGAGCTGGCTGGGCAGAGAGCAGCAGAGGATGTGGCCAGAGACCTGGTGCCTCGGCTGCTGCCTCTATGTGACCACAGCAAGCCTGGCCACGCTCTGGCCTCAGTTTCTCATTCTGCCTCAACGGACTGAGCCTCCTCAGGCATCCGGGTGCAGAAGGAGCTACAGTTTACTTTGCCTCTTTGGTTAAGGGGCAGAGAGTTAACTCAGACAGAGATATTTCGCCCTGAGAGAGCAGACAGGTATGGCCTTAGGCCCAGTCTGCAATGCTTGCACACCGCATCTCTGTGCACTTGGAGATTTGGCACCCATGGGCCCACACTGGGGCATGACAAGCCCAGGCATCCTTCGCACACCTGCTGGTGCACACAGGCTGCCCCTCCCACCTAGGGGTTTGGGGAGGTGAGAAGGGAGCCCAGCCTATGGGACTGCCTCAAGGGAACCCCTACCTGAAAGCAAAACTGGGGAGGTTCCTGATAAGTGGGGAACCCGGTAAGCTCTTAGGTGGGGCAGTTTAGAGGTCAGCTCAGGCCAAGTTCAGGAAAGGGGTGTGCAAATGTGGGCTCAGGGGAGCGTTGTACACCAGCAACCAGGTCCCGACAGAGGTACCTCACACGTATTAATTTATTTATTTCTCACAAACATCCTGTTTGGGCTATTATCCTCACTTTACAAAAGGGGAAACCAAGACACAGAGAGGGTGAGTAACTTGCCCAAGGTTCCACAGAGAGTGAGTAGCAGAGCCTGGACTGACCAAGGCTGTCTGGCTCCAGGGTCTGCTTCTAATGCATGTGGGAGCGCAGAGCAGGGAGCCCCTGCCCAGGCCCTGCTGCTTTCCGAGGCTAGATTTCGAGTCCCCTTCCTTCTCTACTGGGATGGGGAACTCACCCCACTGAGAGGCCCCCACCCCTGAGATCCAATGACCTGCAGAGAGGCATTCTCCCCTGCCGGTCCTGTTCTTACCCAAGCAAATGTTTGCCTTGTGGTGCCCATCACCTACCAGCAGACGGGCCTGTGTCCTGAGTGGGCTCCCACACCTCTGCTCAGGCACCAGCTCCATCTGTGGCCCTGGCAGGGCTGCCGGATAAAATATAGGATGTCCAGTTAAATTCAAATTTCAGATAAACAATAAATACTTTTTAAATGTAAGTAGCCTCCAAATATTACGTGGGAGATACTTATACTCAAGAAGTATTTGGTGATTATCTGAGACTCAAATTTAACTGGGTGCCCTGTGTTTTCATTTGTTCTGTCTGGGAGCCCTCCCCCATGCCGGGGGCCAGCCTCTCCCCTTCCTGCCCTCGCTGGACCTACCCCCCCTCCAGTGGACAGTGCCATGCCTCTATACTAGAACGGCCAACCCGCTGCCTCTTGCCTCCTGAGAGGCTCTCATAGGGACTCAAGCTTAGTGCACCCTATTGTACACTCCTCGTGGGTCATGTACTCCCTCCTAGGTCCCTTCTCAGAAATGTCAGCACAGTCTGCCCAGCCACCCCAGCCAGGGACAGGGCCAGCCTCTCTCTGTCCTCACCTGTATGTCCTGTTCATCCTGCGCTGAGGCCCCACGCTGAGGGGAGGACCTCGTGGGGGAGGGACCCCACTGAGGGAGGGAGGGCCTTGAAAACATACAGAAGCCAGGAACATTCTGGCATGGGTTTGATGGCTTTATCATTTCCAAAGAGAAGCTCTGACTTCCAGAAATCCCAGCTTGGGCTCTGAGTGGATGGTCACTATCTGGGTCTGGCTCAGAGGGTCCCTTGGGTCTAGGTCAGGGCGTGTGAGCAATCTAGGGCGCTCCCACCAAACACGAAGTCCTGGGGCCAGGAAGACTTTTGCATCTGTTGTGCCTCCTCCTGATCCTGGCCTTTCTGTCTTGCAGCTCCCTGAGGGCCTCCTTTGACTCCCTAAAGCAGCGTAAGTCCCCCCTGCCCCAACCCCAAGCTGTAGCGTGACAGGTTCTGGGAACACCCTTGTCCCCATACATGCCTCGAGGTAGTTAGATCCTGGCAGGGGTGGGATAATAGGGGAGCACATGGCACTGTGAGGCTGGCAGAGGATTTGGGGGTTTGGGGCTGGGCTAGTCCAGGCAGGGGTGAGTGTGGGGGTGGCTTGGGCTCCATGCCTCCGTGCTCTGCCCCCAGAAATGGAGAATGTGGGCAGTTCCCACATCCAGCTGGCCCTGGCCCTGCGTGAGGAGCTGAGAAGCCTTGAGGAGTTCCGTGAGAGGCAGAAGGAGCAGAGGAAGAAGGTGAGGCGGGTGTTGGGGATGGGCCCCCGGTGGGAGGTGGCCATCATCTCTGTGGAGGTGGGGCATGGAGCTTCGAGGTGAAGCCCATGGGTGGTGGAGGACAGCACTCTGGGCCTGGGGATGAGGGTGACTTGAAGGTGGAGGGGATGGGCAGGGATGGGCCACTGGAACGAGGCCCAGCATACAGGCCTGAGAGCCTCACTGGGAGTATTCCTCTGAGCTTTTCATGCCAGGAAGAGGGAAAGGCATTGGTCTTTTTGATTATCCTAAGATAACAGACTGTAGAAGTTCAGTGAGAGATTGGGGGTATCTAAAGGAGGCAGCCTGAGTTGGGGGGTCACCAGGAACTGGTCCTGAGCTGAAGGGTCAAGGCTGTTGGTCCAGGACAAAGGCAGACTTGGTGACCAGTCACTGTAGCCACTCTGCAGGGCTGCCCAGGCTGAGAGGGGCCACAGAGCCTGCAGGGAGATGGGGGTGGGGGCTGGCATGCTGACCTTGGCATCCAAAGGTATTTCTCACCCATGGGTAGGGCATGGCGGTTTCCTACATGGAAAGGAAGTAAGGTCCCCACCACGGGAGATATATAAACAGTCTGGAGGCTATTTGTCAGGGAAGCTGCAGAGGTGGGGTGGGGGGTGGGCTTGGTGACCTCTGTGTCCCAGGGCCCCCTCCCAGGCTGGAGACTCTCTGACTGGCTGAGCCCGTGGCTGCTGGGAAGGCAGCTGGGGACGCGTGCTCAGCCTCGCGGGGCCTTGGTCATGCGGGTCCACCCGAACAGGACGGAGAGGCCAGCAGCACACAGCAGCACTTCTTGCTTGGACATAAGGATCCTTGCAAACTCTCCAAAGGATTGAAAAATGGAAAGGTTCTCAAAATGGAACTGTTTAGGGGAGGGCTTGCCAGCTCATGGCTAAGGCCAGGCTGGGCCTGGGTGTCCAGGGCAAGCTCTTTTCCTCATTGTGCTTCAGTTTCCCTCTCACAGGTTGGGACACTTATGTGTACCTCCCAAGCTTTGGGGACCCAGCCCACAACCAGGGCCCCTTCAGTCTTCTCAGACAGGGCACCGGCTCTGAGTAGTGGCTCTGTCTGGACCCAGAAATAGAGTGTGACTGTACTGTATCTGCCCAGCCAGCCACCCAGTCTCAGGCTTTGAGGATTCTAAATTTGGGGCCCTGAGGGGACAGTTGTTCTCCCAAATCGGCCCCAGAAGTCAGCTCGGCCCTGAGGGGCTGAAGCAGGCGACCTCTGGGCTGGGACTTGCCTCATGTGTGCAGACCACCTGCTGAGACTGGCCCTGTGCTGGCTATTTTTAGTTTTCCTGTGGCCGGAGGGGCTGTAATGTCTGCAAAAGCGGTTTCAGACAGAGCTGCCTTCCCCAGGGTGGCCAGAGTCCCCACAAGCGGAGAACTGTGATGCAGTATGTAGGGGCGACAGCCTGGACTTGTGTGGGGACACGTGTGTGCATATGCACACGTGTGTGTGAAAGAGGAAGCGGGGGAGGCTGCACCGCATGTGCTCACCCGTGAGCATGGGCGCGTGTCTCTGTGTGTCCGCACCCCGGTGGCCGGCAGCAGGCCTGAGGCTCCCTGCTCATGCGGGCCCCAGAGGGCCCCCCGCACAACCAGCTCTTCTGCTTATGACCTGATCTCTGCCCACGCTGAGTTCTGTTCTCTCTCCCTGAACAAGGAGCCTGGGAGCACCCACAGACACCACCCAAAAGCACACGCAAGCACACTCTCCTCTTCTTGCTGTGTGTGCAAGCATGAGCAGTGAGAGCAACAGGAGCCTGTGAGCGTGGACTTCTGTGGGTCATGTGTACTTTTGTGTGCATGTGTGTGCCGGTGTGTATGCAGTGTATAACCAGTGTGAGGAGGTACAGAGACCGTGAGTGAAGGGCTGTGTGTGTGTGTGCGCACGCACGCACGCAGGGCGAGTATTCCCAGGAGAGAGACCAAGTCCTGGCTGGAGTCTGCAGCAAAAAGACACAGTGGGCACGTCCTGCCCCAGGCTCTGATTTTCTGTGGCAGCTTGTCACTGCCGCCTTCAGAGCCAGGAGGGGATACTGTGTCTCATCCCAGGGCCACCCCGTCCTCTTGGCCTAGGGGAGCGTCCTGAGGCCACAGCCCTCCTGCTCAGAGCCTCATGTCCCCTGCAGTATGAGACCGTCATGGACCGTGTCCAGAAGAGCAAGCTCTCTCTCTACAAGAAGGCTATGGATGTGAGTGTGAGGGTCCTGGGCCTGGAGGGGTGGACTCGCAATGGCTGGGCCCTTGTGACAGGGCTTGCCTCGATCCCTGTCCAACAACACACACCATGGGGGCCAAGGACCCATGTGGATAGACCCAGACCCTGCCCTTGAGGGCTCCTGACTGTCTGGTGGTCAGTCCTAGAAGTAGCCCACAGGAAGATCCATACTGTTAGCTGGGGGTTTTGGGGATGGAGGGAGAAGGGACCCGTGAGCTGTGTCCCTAGGACACTGAGTGAGAAGGAGAAAAGGGGTTCTGCAAGAGGGGACAGCGTGTGCAGAGGCCAGCATCATGCAGATGCATGGCATTTTCAGGGACCTGCCTGTGGTTTGATGGGACCACATCTCTAAAGAGGATGTGGCACTGACCCTGCTGGGACAGGGCCTGGATATAAAACTCCTTTCTCCATCTCTACTCTGGACCCCCAGATCCCTGTCCCCGGTGAGGAGGCCCCCCACTCCACCCACAGTCCTCCGACAGGGACAAGGGAGGCTGGGTCAGGGAGCCTCACTCTGGGCGGCCCCCCAGTCATGCTTCTCCACACCCCCAGTCCAAGAAGACATACGAGCAGAAGTGCCGGGATGCCGACGACGCTGAGCAGGCCTTCGAGCGCATTAGCACCAATGGCCACCAGAAGCAGGTGGAGAAGGTGCGTGGGGTTACTGAGGCCATGTGGTGTGTCACCCAGGGCTGGAACAGGGCAGGGAGGGAACAAGGGCGTGCCACAGACACCCCAAGAAAGGTCCACATCTGGAACATTTGCTCATTCCTCTCTGAACTACCATCTCCCATCTGTGGAATGGGTTTCTTGGAATCTCAGGACATGGACAGGGCCACCTAACTCTCACATAACCCTTGGAGACAGGCTCAGGAGACCCATGTCAAAGAGAGGAAACTGAGGCCCAAAGACAGTGAGTGACTGGTCCAAGTTCTCAGATCCAAGTAGGAAGAATTAAAGGATACACACCCAGGTCATCCAGAACCCAAGATCTTGACTGCTCTGGCCGTTGGGCCAGGGTGAGTCATCAGAGGCACCGGGGCCCAAGAACATATTTTGCCCATTGCACAGACAGGACAGCTGAGGCCCAGAAAGGGCAGGGAACTGTGGGTGAATTAGGGGCAGCAAGGCAAGGGCAAGGCCCCCGTCCTGGCTGGTGGGTTCAGAAGTGACCAGGGGGAGCCACGGGACCTGGCTCCAGTCCATATTTCTCCCTCCGGTCTTGATATCCAGTCTTCACATGTATCTGCATGGGCTATGCATATGTTTTTGTTTGTTCAATTGGACCCTTTTTGATTTTGGTCTTTTGTGGGGTGAGGCTAGAGTAAATGGTAGCACTTGCCCACAGGTGGCTCCTGAGTGTCCCCCTGGGTGGCTCAGGAAGGGTGGGATAGAAGCACCTCAGAGCCCCCCAGGGAGGCTGGGAGCCCTAGGGCCTTGGGGCCGGCTCAGTGCTGCTTTCCCTCTGTCTCCTCAGAGCCAGAACAAAGCCAAGCAGTGCAAGGACTCAGCCACGGAGGCAGGTATGCGCCCCTGCCCACTTCCTCTGCCCTGGGATGGTGGCTCATATAGGCGTGTCCCCTGCCCTGCTCCCGCACTTTCCTCACCCTCGGGAAGCACACTCATGCAGGACTATACAGAGTCACATGCTTACCACTCTCATGTGACCGTGCAAGTAAAATAAAAACATTGGTGTTCTCCCATTTGCCAAGACTGTTCTTGGTGCTTTGCATGTTTCAGCCAATCTGCACAACACAAGAGTCCTATGAGATGGCTGCTATCATTATCTTTCTTTTGTCTACTTATTTTTTAATGTTTATTATTTTTGAGAGAGAGACAGAGTGCGAGCAGAGGGAGGGGCAGAGTGAGAAAGAGACACAGAATCTGAAGCAGGCTCCAGGCTCTGAGCTGTCAGCACAGAGCCCGACACAGGGATCGAACTCACGAACCGTGAGATCATGACCTGAGCCGAAGTCAGAGACGCTTAGCTGACTGAGCCACCCAGGCGCCCCTAATTATCCTTCTGTTAAATTTTCAATTGAAGTATGGTTGACATGCGATATCATAGTAATTTCAGGTGTACAACATAGTGAATCGATGATTATGAACATTATGCAGTGCTAAAGTGTAGTTACCGTTGACTCTATTCCCTATGCTGTACTTTCCATTCCTGTGACTTATTTCTTTTATAAATGAAAGTTTAAACCTCTTAGTCACCTTCACCTATTTTGCATTCCCAGCCCCTTGCCCTCTGGCAACTACCAGCTCTCTATTTTTATGACTTTATTTCTGGCTTTTGTTGTTGCTGTTTGTTTTGTTTTGTTTTTTAGGTCCCACCCATAAAGTGGAATCATATGGCATTTGTCTTTCTCTGTCTGATTTATTTCACTTGGCATCATAACCCTCTAGGTTCATTCGTGTTATCATGAATGGCGAAATTTCATTCCTTTTTATGGCTGAGTAATATTCCATTGTACATCTTCTTTATCCATTCATCTATCGATGGACACTTGGGTTACTTCCACATCTTGGCTCTTGTAAATAATGCTGCAGTAAACATAGGGGTGCATATATCTTTTCAAATCCATGTTTTCATTTTCTTCAGGTAAATACCCAGAGGTAGAATATTACTGAATGGTGTGGTATTTGTTTTTAATTTTTTGAGGCAAGTTCATACTATTTTCCAGAGTGGTTATACCAGTTTGCATTCCCACCAACAGTGCAAGAGGTTCCCTTTTTTCACATCCTTGCCAACACTTGTTATTTCTTATTTTTTTGATACTAGCCTTTCTGAATGGTATGGGGTGATATATCATTGTGGCTTTGATTTGCATTTCCTTGATTATTAGTGATGTTGCACATGTTTTCAAGTGTCTATTGGTCATATGTATGTCATTTTTGGAAAAATGTCTATTCAGATCTTCAGCCCATTTTTAAATCAGATTTTTTTTTATGTTGAGTTGTATGAGTTCTTTATATATTTTGGATATTACCCCCTTATCTTCTCTCATTCATTTGGTTGTCTTTTTGTTGATGGTTTCCTTTAGCTGTGCAAAAGCTTTTAGTTTGATATAGTTCCAGTTGTTTATTTTTGCTTTTGTTTCCTTTGCCTGAAGAAACAGGTCCAGAAAAATACTCCTAAGACTGACATCTAAGAGTTTATTGCCTATGTTTTCTTTCAGGACTTTTATAGTTTCAGGTCCCACATTTAGGTATTTAATCCATTTTGAGTTTATTTTTTGTGTATGGTATAGGGAAGTCATCCAGTTTCATTCTTTTGCATGTAGCTGTCTAGTTTTCTCAATGCCATTTATTGAAGAGACTGTCTTTTCTTCATTGTGTATTCTTGCCTCCTTTGTCATAGGTTAATTGACCATATGAGCATGAGTTTATTTCTGGGCTCTTTATTCTGTTCCATTGACCTATGGGTCTGTTTATGTGCCAGTATCATACCATTTTGTTTACTATAACTTTGTAGTATAGTTTGAAGTCTGGGGTTGTGATACGTCCAGCTTTCTTCTTTTTTCTCAAGGTTGCTTTGGCTGTTTGGGGACTTTTGTGGTTCCATACAAATTTTAGGATTTGTTCTGGTTCTGTGAAAAATGTTGGTGTTTTGATAGGGATTATATTGAATCTGTAGATTTCCTTGGGTAGTGTGGACATTTTAACTATTAATTCTTACAATCCATGAACATGGAATACCTTTCCATTTATTTATTTGTGTTGTCTTTAATTTCTTTCATCAATGCGTTAGTTTTCAGAGTACAGGTCTCTCATTTCCTTGATTAAATTTATTCCGAGGTACTTTATTCTTTTTGGTGCAATTATAAATGAGATTATTTTCTTAATTTCTCTTTTCACTACTTCATTATTGGTATATAGAGGCAAACAGATTTCTGTGTATTGATTTTGTATTCTGCAACTTTACTGAGTTCATTTATTAGTTCTAATAGTTTTTTTTTTTTTATGAAAGCTTTAGGGTTTTCTATATATAGTATCATGTCATCTGCAAACAGTGAGTTTTACTGCTTCCTTACCATGTTGGGTATTTCTCTTTCCCTTCTGATTGCTGTGGCTAGGACTTCCAAAGTTATGCTGGATAAAAATGATGAGAATGGACATCCTTGTCTTGTTCCTGATCTTAGAGGAAAAGCTTTCAACTTTTCACCATTGAGTGTGATGTTAACTGTGGGTTATTATGGTGAAGTATGTTCCTTCCAAATGCATGTTTAGTTTTTATCATGATTGGATGTTGAGTTTAGTCAAATGATTTTTCTGCGTCTGTTTTTTTTCTAGTAGTCTCTTATAATCCTTTGTATTTCTCTAGTGTCCGTTGTGACTTTTCCTCTTTCATTTCTGATTTTATTTATTTGAGTCCTTTCTTTTTTTTCTTGACGAGTCTGGATAAAGGTTTATGAATTTTGTTTATCTTTTCAAAGTACTTAAGTCTCTATTTCGTTTATTTCCAAGCAAATCTTTCCTTCCTTCAACTAACTTTGGGGTTTGTTCTTTTTCTAGTTCCTTTAGATGTAAGATTAGATTGTTAACTTGAGGTTTTTCTTATTTCTTGAGGTAGGCCTGTACTGGTATAAATTTCTCTTTTAGAATTGCTTTTGCCGCCTCTCAAAGATTCTGAAATGTTGTGTTTCCATTTTTATTTATCTCCAGGTATTTTTTTTTAATTTCCTTTTTGAATTCTCCATTGACCCTTTGTTTGTTTAGTAGCATATTGTTTAGCCTCCACGTGTTTTTGTGTTTTTTTCTTGTAACTGATTTCAAGTTTTATACTGTTGTGATCAGAAAAGATGCTTGATAGTATTTCAATATTCTTAAATTTACTAAGATTGTTTTGTGGCCTAACATGTGATCTATCCTGGAGACTGTTCCATGTACACTTGAAAAGAATGTGTATTCTGCTGTTTTTGGATGGAATCTTTGGCACATATCTAAGTTCATCTGGTCTAATGTATCATTCAAAATAATCATTTCCTTATTGATTTTCTATCTGGATGATTTACCCATTGATGTAAGTGGAGTGTTAGTGTCCTAATATTATTGTACTTCTCCCTTTGTGTTTATTATTATTTGCTTTTTATATTTAGGTGCCTCTATATTGGGTGTGTGGATATTTACAATTGTTACACCTCTTGCTGGACTGATCCCTTTATCATTGTATAATGCCCTTTTTTGTCTCTTGTCTTTTAAAAAAGTCTATTTTGCCCGATAGAAGTATTTCTACCCCAGTTGTGTTTTTGTTTGTTTTTGTTTCCATTTGCATGGAATCTTTTTCTATCCTTCCACTTTCAACCTGTATGTGTTTTAGGTCTGAAATGAGTCTCTTCTAGGAAGCATATAGATGGGTCTTGTTTTTTTATCCATTCAGTCACCCTATGTCTTTTGACTAGAGCATTTAGTCCATTTATATTTAAAGTAATCATTGATAGACGTGTGTTTACTGGCATTTGGTTAACTGTTTTCTGGTTGTTTTTGTAGTTTTTCTCTTGCTCTCTTCCCTTGTGGTTTGATAATTTTCATTAATGTTATACCTGAGTTCTTTTCTCCTTTTGCTTATATTATAGGTTTTGGGTTTATGATTATTATGAGGTTCATATATAACGTTCTATGAATATAGCAATTTATTTTACAGTGATGGTCACTTAAGTTCCAACATGTTCTAAAACCACTATACTTTTACTTCCCCCTCTACATTTCATGTGTATGATGTCATATTTTACATCTTTTTTATTTTTGTAGATATAATTGGTTTTGCTGCTTTTTCTTTAAACCTTCATATTAGCTTGATAAGCAATTGATCTACTATTTTTATTGTATGTTTGCTTTTCCTAGTGACATTTCTTCTCTTTCATAATTTTGTCACTTCTAGTTATGGCCTTTTCTTTTTCCACTTAAAGAAGTTCCTTTAACATTTTTAATAAGGGCATTTTAGTGACAATGAACTTCTTTAAACTTTTTTTGAGAAACTCTTTATCTCTCCTTCAATTGTGAATGATAATCTTGCCAGGTAGAATATTCTTGGTTTTAGGTTTTTGTTTTTGTTTTGTTTTGTGTTTCTGTCAGCATTTTATTCATATTGTGCCACTCCCTTCTGGCCTACAAAGTTTCTGCTGAAAAATTGACTGATAGCTTTGTGATTTTTTTTTTATATATATATATAACTAGTTGTTTCTCTCCTGCTGCTTTTAAGATTCTCTAGCTTTAATTTTTGACATCATAATGTTTACATGTTTTGGTGTGGACCTTCTTAGGTATGTCTTGTTTGAGATTCTCTGTGCTTCCTGGACCTGGATGTCCATTTCCTTCCCAAAGTTAGGGATGTTTTCAGCTATTATTTCTTCAAATAAGTTTTCTGCTCCCTCTTCCCTTTTCCTTCTGGGATCCTTAAAATGCAAATTTAGGACACCTGATGTTCCAGATGTCCTCTAACCTATCCTCATTTAAAAAAATTTTTCCTCATGTTTATTTATTTATTTATTTAGAGAGAGAGAGACAGAGCACAATCAGAGGAGAGACAGAGAGAGAGGGAGAGAGAGAATCCCAAGAAGGCCCTTCGCCATCAGCACTGAGCCTAATGTGGGGCTCGATCTCATGAACTGTGAGATTATGACCTGAGCCAAAATCAAGAGTCAGATGCTCAACTGACTGAGCAACCCAGGTGGCCCATAACCTATCCTCATTTAAAAAATTCTTTTCTTGGAGTGCCTGCGTGGCTCAGTTGATTAGGCGTCTGACTTCGGCTCAAGTCATAATCTCATGGTTTATGAGCTCAAGCCCTGCATTGGGCTCTGTGCTGATAGCTCAGAGCCTGGAGCCTGCTTCAAATTCTGTGTTTCCCTCTCTCTCTGCCCCTCCCCCAATCATTCTCTCTCTCTCTCTCTCTCTCTCTCTCTCTCTCTCTCTCAAATGAATAAACATTAAAAAAATAAAAATAAAAAATTTCTTTTCTTTTTGATATTACATTTGGATACTTTCTATACCCTATCTTCCAGGTCACTAATATGTTCTTCTGAATCCTCTAATCTGCTGTGGATTCCTTCTAGTGTATTTTTCATTTTAGTTATTATATTATTCTGCTCTGCTTGTTTTTTTTTTAATATCTTCTATCTCTTTGTTAAGTTCTGAGTTTATCCACTCTTCTCTCAAGTCTGATGAGCATTTTTATGACCATTACTTTGAACTCTTTAAAATGTAGATTACATATCTTTGTTTCATTTAGTTCGTTTTCTGAGGTTTCATCTTGTTCTTTCATTTGGAACATATTCCTCTATCTCTCCATTTTGTCTGACTGTTTGTTTCTGTGTATTAGGTAGGTCAGCTATGTATCTTGGACTTGAAAGTCTTATGTAGGAGGTGTCTTGTGGGTCCCAATAGGACAATCCTTCCTGGTCACTAGAACCAGGACTCCAGAGGTATCCCCTGGATATCCAGAGGTATCCAGAGGGCTGCATATACCCTCCTGTTGTGACAGCTGCAGGCTTGCTGATGGGCAGGGTTGGCCACCAACATGGCCAGTTGAGAGGCTTAGCTGAAGCTACTGCAGCGGTGCTGGTGGGTGAAGTTAGCCCCCCGTACAGCTGGCTGAGTGGCTCGGCCATACTGTTGAATCCCCCTTTTTTAACAAATGAGGAAATTGAGACGCAGAGAAGTTAAGTAACTTACCCAAGGTCACACAGTCAAGAAGTAGTGGTGAATGCATTTCAACCCAGGCAATCTGGCTCCAGAGCCCAGGACTTTCACAACCACCATCATGGGAGACAGACCCACTCATCTCTCTCTTATACACACACACACACACACACACAGCCTTCTCTGGGCCTCTGTCTCCTCTATCCTTCACCTGATGCCAGAACCTTCCCAACACCCTCCATCTCTGCTGGTACACCACCTAGGGCAGAGAGCTCACCCCTATTCCCCCCTGAAAATGCTCTCCCTTTTGCTCTGCTTCTCCCCAGAACCCAGCTGCTGCTTTGGCTGGCAGATAGGTGTCCTTCAGATTTCTGGGAATGGAGGTCATGGCCAAGCCTGCTGGGTTCAACAGCTCCCCTGTTCCATCCCCCCTTCAATGCTGCCCTTTCCAAGCCTCAGTTTCCCATCTAGGAAGTGTGAGAGAGGAGGACCTGGGGATGGGAAAAGGCTTGGACTCTGATCTTGAGGTTGGGCTCTACTGCAGCCCTGGGCAGCTCAGAGCATGTCCAAAAAGAGCAGTACCAGAGTAAATGGTCCTGACAGGCTTTCAGATGAGGCACCAGAAGCCAGGGCAGGTCTCTGAGGCAGGAGGAGGGACTACGAGGACTTGGGGCAGGAGAGCACTCGGTACAGGGACATGTGGGATTTCTCCCATGCAGGGGTGGAGGTTGGCGGGGGGGTGTCTAGGCCTTGGCCTCCCTGAGAACCACCTATGCTTCCAGAGCGAGTGTACAGGCAGAACATCGAGCAGTTGGAGAAGGTGCGGGGCGAGTGGGAGCAGGAGCACCGGACCACTTGTGAGGTGAGCGACTGTGGCTGCAAAATGAGAAAGATGTCCATCCCTCCAGCTGCTTCATGGGGGAAAGTGAGGCAGTAGTGGGAGGAAGGCCTCATTCCTTTCTTCATTCAGCCGTCTGCTCTCTCCCCAGGCTCTGTGCCAGTTCCCTGACCCAGGGAGCTCCCCATCTGGCTTTACACCCCACAGCCCTCTGTGGTAGGCAGGCAGCCTTCACCTTTTTTGCTGAAGTGACACAGAGGCTCAGACAAAACCCATAGCTTCCCTGGATCCTGCTGGTGGACAAGGCCTGGGAGATGGGCCTTAGGACTCTGGGTCCAGTGCTCCTCTCACAACAGTGCCCAAGGGCTTTTTTCCAGTGTGAGGTGGAGCCTAGGGGAGGGCTAGGACAAAAACCAGAAGCCTCAGGGGCTGGCACAGAGGTGGGGGTGGGGATCCTCCAAGAAGGGCTTTTCCTTTGGACTTGGCTTTCAGCAGAGGGGGGGTGTGGCTTCTCAGTGCAGGAAGCTGAGTTGGGCCCAGCCTGGCCTGGCCCTGCGAGCCCCTCCTCACTTCTCACGCCCATCCCATCTCCACCTGGCAGGCTTTCCAGCTGCAAGAGTTTGACCGACTGACCATCCTGCGCAATGCCCTGTGGGTGCACTGCAACCAGCTCTCCTTGCAGTGTGTCAAGGACGATGAGGTGGGGGCTTGGGACAGGGAGGCGCAGAGAGTGAGCTGGGGGTGTGCAGATAGGGCCACCTCCAGGCAACAGCATGCCCAGGTCCGTTTGAGTCCATCAACAAACACCTCGGGGCTTAGCCTCTGCGTCTTGGGCCCCAAAGGACAGGCGACTTAGTACAGAGCCCTGGCCTCCTTGCCTGGAAGACTGCCTTTGTGGTTATCCTGGCATCTGCCTCTTTACTCACCCCTGCTCAAAGGTCCTTGGCTCTGCTCTCAAGGCCACAGAGCACCTGCTCCCCCCTGGGGTCAGGAAGGGAGGTGGACACTGCCCCTCAGAGGTTTGCAGAGAGGCTGGAGGACGCTGGGCTGGTCTCCTCCAGGCCAGGTGCTTGCAGGAGCCAAGGTCCAATCCCTCCTCTGCCCTCCCACTCTCTGGGGTGTCCTGGTTCCCCTTACTGAATTCTACATGCCAGGAGTGTTGGGGTGCCAGCAGAGGACCCCACTTCTGCACCAGGGGCTCTGACCTTTTAGAGCACCCTGAAAGCCATGAGCCCTCTCGAGGCAGCCCAGACTCCCCAATGCCCACTGCTGCTCCTGGCCTGAACCCTTCTGCCCACGGATTGGTGGTCTCCTTGTGGTAGAGGAAGCAATGGGGGCTTTGGATCCTCGTTAATGCAAAGCCTGGCTACCCTAAATTCTTGCTCTGCAACCTTGGGCAAGTCACTTCCCCTTTCTGAGTGTCCTCGTCTATAAAATGGGGAAAGTTGGGGCACCTGGGTGGCTCGGTTGGTTAAGCGTCCGACTTCAACTTTGGGCATGATCTCAGTTTGTCGGTTCAAGCCCCACATCGGGCTCTGTGCTGACAGCTCAGAGCCTGGAGCCTGCTTGGGATTCTGTGTCGTCCTGTCTCTCTGCTCCCCACCCCCATGCTCTGTCTCTCGGAAGTAATTAAAAAAAAATTAAAATGGGGAAAGTAGTGTCTTCTTCAGAGGACAGGAGTGAGGTAAGTCCCTTGCATAGGCCCTTGTGCACAATAGGTGTTCAGGAAGTAGAAGAAGCTGTCAGACACTGAGCTGTGCACACAGGCCAGTGAGGAGGCGGGTGGGGTGGAGACCCTGGCCAGAGTTTAGATCCACTGAAGAACAGTGCTTTGAAAAGGGTGGGCATCAAGGTGAGGGCTGATCCCTCAGCCTCTGCTCTTGCCCACTGCCAGCTCTACGAGGAAGTGCGGGTGACGCTAGAAGGCTGCAGCGTGGAAGCTGACATTGATGGCTTCATCCAGGCCAGGAGCACAGGCACGGAGCCCCCAGGTGAGGCCCGGCCTGCAGCCTCTGGGGCCAGGCTCATCTGTTCCTAAGAGGCCTAGCCCCAGTTCTCTGAGCCTCAACTGCCAGAACAAGGCTCACAGCTCCCTTCTGGGTGGAGGAGCCTGGGCCAGACCCAGAGGAGGTTGGGAATGGAGCAGCCCCCTGGGTGGGGTCCCGGCCTGCTGCCTCCTCTGAGGTGGGGGATAGCACAGTGCTTAAGAACGCCAACTCTCAGAAGGGGGAATAGAGGCAGGAGCCTTACAGCCAGTTTGGTTCCACTAAATCATGAGTCCAGAATATTCGGTCTCAGTGTTGCCCACGGTGGGGTGTGACTCATCAAAGTAAGAGAGACCCCCTCCTCAAGCACTGAGGCAAGCTAGGGCCAGAATGGGTAAGTAGATCCCCAGTCTGGGTCTCTGGATGGGGACAGGTCAGGCATCAGGTGGCGCAGGTCCCGCCTGCCCTGCCCTTGGTCACACTGGGCCTCACAGGCTTGCTGCCCACAGCTCCGGTGCCCTACCAGAACTATTACGATCGGGAGGTCGCCCCGTCATCCGGCAGCCCTGGCATACAACCGTCCTGCGGCATGATAAAGAGGTGAGGTGCCAGATGGGGCTGGGGAGGCACCAAGAGGTGGGTCCGGCCTCTCTTGCAAGTGTTTCTTCCACACGTATTTACTGAGCACCTACTGCAGGCCTGGTGCTGGGTTTAGGCACTGGGCTTTCTTTGGGGACAAGACAGCCTCATTTTGGCCCTCATCCAAGGGGACCCCGACATTAAGCAAATAATCACACACCGTTTACTTGCTGGTGACTTGTGCTCAGAGCTCCAGGGAGGCCAGGCTGGCTTCCTTGTCTCTTGTGCCCTGCTGCTAGCCTGGGTTGGTACCCTGGACTGTCTGTCATGCTGTGGCAGTGACACTCCTGCTGGTGCAGGATCAGGACACAGGAGCAGACCCTATAGACAGTGCTCTGGGAGGATTCCTCAGGCTTTTCAGCACCCCTTCCCTGGCCACAGAGGATCCTAGTGCCATGCATCACTGTCACCTACACAAGTCACCTTCTCCAGGTCCAGAGCCCATGAGTCATTGGGGTCGGACTCAGAACCCAAGGACCTTCTTGGTTCAGGCCTTGGGTGACAATGGTGACAGCTCATTGAGAGTACCTAGATTCCTGAGGGGGCCACGTGCCCTGTTGCGGGGGGGGGGGGAGAGTCTGAGTGCCTCTGTGGGTTTCATGTGGTGCCTGTGCCCTCTCCCACCCTGAGGCCCCTGTGATGCCCTCCTGTCCAGCCTGGTGCAGAGAAGGCCCTGCCTTCAGGAAGTAGGGAAGGATGAGGATGGGTGATGGACCTCCAAGCTCCCTGAGCACAGCTTCTCTCTGAGGCTTCGGGAACCCCTGAAGCCTCCCCTGTGGGACACCTCTGGAGATGGGGTGACCACCCGTGTTCAGAGCAGGGGCACAGCATGCCCCTCCAGGAATCGTGAGAAAGCAATGGCCCCGGGAAGGGGGCAGTCACACCCTGACAATCATAGCGTAGTCTTGGGGGACTCCGGCCTCCCTGCAAGCCTGGGGAGGACCTGGGTCTCAGCACAGGTGATCATTTAAATACCTGATGGGAAAGCTCAAGGGGGGGCAGTGCCAAGAAAGGACGGAGAGGGGTGCCTTGATGAGACAGCAGTCCCACCAGGTGGAGGAGGCCTGGCAACTGGAGGGGATGGGCAGGGGCCAGAGCAGGGGAGAGCCAGAAGCCAGGCGTAGCTGGGGAGGGGTGGAGCAGTGGCCGGGAAGTGAGGGAAGTGTCACAGGTATGAACAAAGCTGAGGAAACGGGCAGCGGCCTCTATGGGCTCTGCTCCTCCCTGCCACAGCCCTGCTGACTTTCATGCTGACTCGCTGCCTGAGTCATTGGTGCTGAACCTGCACAGCCCATGTCATCATCAGACCAGGTCCACACACGCATCCACTCCCGGGCCCTAGGCGCCACAAAGCTTGGGGGTGGGGGGACTGAATTTTCCCACCTGTGGGAAAGGCCACCCAAGGGCAGCCTCCCAAGGCCCAAGCCACACTCAGGGCCCCTCAGGGTCTGGCCCAGTCCATATTCGTCTTGTCTCCTGCACACCCAGACTGGTCCAGTCCACCTCCAAACTCCTCCACCTGCACGGCACCCCCCTTGCACCTCAGAGTCGCTCACGGGCTATGCCTTGTACCACCTCTGTCTGTTAAAGCTGGCTTTCAGGGGGCACCTGGGTGGCTCAGTCGGTTAAACATCCGACATCGGCTCAGGTCATGCCTGGGATTCTCTCTGCCCCACTTGCTCTCTTTCTCTCTCAAAATAAAGAAATAAACTTTAAAAATAAATAAAGTTGTCTTTTGGGACTCAACCCCAACCCGAAGCCTTTCCTGAGGCTAGGAATAGATAGCATCAGCCTCCACTTACACAGCCCTCAGCACTGCCTGCTTTGTGGGGTACCCACCGGGGCCCCCCAGGGTCTGCCTCTTGCTTCTTCTGGTCTTTTTATTCAGCAAACCTTCATGGCTGCCTCCCAGTCCAGGCATGGGCCAGGTACAAAGGAAGGGGTGAATTAGCCTGGAACTTCTTCCTAGCGCTTACAGAAACACTGGAGTCCCTACTTCCCATGGCCAGGGCGCGGCTGGGCTGGCCCGGTCCTGGAGAAGTACAGGGAGGAGGTCTGGCTGCGCCCAGGCAGGTGAGGATCCCAGCAGGGCCCAAGTGTGCTGAATTCTGAAGGGCAGCCCCTTCACCTGTGGGGGTTAAGAGGGAGCAGGGGCCTGGGGGCTCAGGGTCCTGGGAATGCAGTGTGGAGGGTCTACAAAAAGCAGGTGCTGAGGAGGCCTAGGAGGTGCGGCAGGGGAAGGAGGGGCCACCCTCAGGCCTGCCGGGCACCCCTTGTCACTCTGTGCCTAGAGGCCGGATGGCCCCAGCTCTGGGGCTTCACGGGTCCCCTGCTGCGTCCCCCTGCCTCTACCTGCTTTGCTTCTTGCCCCCAGGTTCTCTGGGCTGCTGCACGGAAGTACCAAGACTACATCACCGGCAGCTTCTGCAGGTTACTGGGAGTGATGAGGGGCCCCCAACCAACCCAGGGGGAAGGATGGAAAGGATGGGTTGTGGCGCACGTGGGTTCTCTAACTGCTTTTGTGGGGAGGCTGAGCCAAGTCTGGGGAAGCTCCAAGCTCCGGGGATCACTGCCTGGAGGTGGGCTCCAGGCCTCACACTGCTCTCAGCTTCCACAGAGACCCTGACCCCAACCCCTGAACGGAGTGAGGTTGTCTACTCTGCCATCGCGGTGCAGGAGGCGCCGGGCCCCCCACGCGGGCAGGCCCAGGGCTACAGGGTGCTTTACGACTACACGGCCCAGGTGAGACCCTTACCCCCTCTCCTCAGGTGGGCACAGGTGTGCCAGAGTGTGGCATGTGCTGGAGTGTGTGCCCCTACAATAGCACCCAGCACTTGGGAGTGGCTGTGTATCTGCTGAGCAAATGGTGAATGGGCACGAGGGCCTATGTCTGCCCGGATCTGTTCTCACACGCGCGCATAGTATCCAGGCGTTCATGGGCACCGTGTGCCTGAGTGTGTATGCAGGCACGCTGACGGCGCCTGGGGCAACCTGCAAGAAATGGACCAAAGGTCAGACTCTGCGCCCTCGGGCTGGGGCCATGGGTGCCAAGAACGAGACCCTCGGCTGGTCTTCTGAGGTCCACGGGAAAAGGATGGGTCAAGGGGCTGCAGGGTGGGTGTACTGAGATCCCCGAGAGCCCAATCCTGCTTCCTGCTTTGAGGGAAGTGTTGTAGACTGCCCTCAGTCCACACGGACCGAAGCCAAGCATCCCCTCGGGGCAGGCAGGCTGTGACCTGGGTTGCGCAGACCCCCAAAGCCTGGTCCTCGGTCAGCGGGGGGCCAGGCCAGAATGGGAGTGTGCTTGCATGACGGGGGCTGGCTCGGCAGCAGTGGGGAGGCCGTGCGTGGTGCACCTGGAAAGGCTCGGAGCATGGTGAACACACCTGTGTCTGGAAGCAGAGCTGCGGGAGTGGGCAGCAGGGGGGAAGGGGCGGGAAGAAGCCCCAGGGTGAGGAAAGCCTAAAATGACAAACCAAGGAGGGCAGGAGGCCGAGTCCCACAAGACAACCCACACCCTACATGTCTCCAGAGGCTGCTCCAGCTGGAGCAGCCTCACCTCGTGGCTCCAGAAAGCCAGGCAGGGCTCTGAGGACCTGGCCCACCTGGGAGACAAGCTCCCATTTACTGCCTGGGGCTGGGGGAGAGGGGCACCCACCAGAACCCCACTAATAGGGCCCCTCCAGCCCAATGCACTTTCATTCTCTTGCCCAGAATTCCGACGAGTTGAACATCTCTGCAGGAGACATCCTGGAAGTCATCCTGGAAGGGGAAGATGGTTGGTGGACAGTGGAACGGAATGGGCAGCGTGGCTTCGTCCCTGGTTCCTACCTGGAGAAGCTTTGAGGAAGGGGCAGTAGCCCCCACCTGGACCTGCCCTGCTCTGGGGCCAGCAGTGTCCCCAATGCTGCCCCGGCCTTGCTGGGGCCCTAAGGCCGAGCCTGCCCCCCAGGACAGATGCTGGAGGCTCCCTGGACGGTCTCCCACAGGGAATAAAGGAGTGCATTTTTTCTCACTGGTCTGTGGGGGTCCCTTTCACTCTTTCTCCTGCCCCCATGTCCAAGTACATTGTCCAAGATGAGGGAAAGGTGTGAAGGGAGAAGTCCGGGGGAACAGAGCTCGCTTACTTCCAGTGTCATCACTAAGGCCTGGGATCACTAAGGCCCGGGATCACTAAGGTCGCAAGCTCTGCTGGGGAGGGAGAAGAGCCTTGCCCCCAGGCTGGGAACTCCTGCTCTGCCAGGGAGACACATTCACACACAGGCCAACAAGGCTGCAGGGGTCGGGATGGGGGGCAGTGACAAGTAGGTGCTTACGAGGCCTGAGATGGGGGGGCATGCTTCCTGGGGGCAGAGGGACTGGAAAGGGACCTTGGAAGGGCAGCAGCAGACAAGGCAAAGAGCAGAGCAGAGCATCAGGGTGAGGCAAATGTGTGAGCACAGGGTGGAGGTAGGAATGCCTGGAACATTCTGGGGATGAGCCAAGCTCAGCCTGGGGAGGAAATAGGTGATAGGTCCACTGGAGGTGAAGGGACCAGGGTACAGAGTTGACAGGCTTAGAGCCTTGTGGGTGCAAGTGACCCTGTCTCCCAGATTGAACCGAAGCTCAGGGAAGGCATGGCTGGCTGTGCCGCCCTGTCACACATGGCACATTCCCGCCCAGGCAGGGGCTCCAGAGCACATGCAGGGGCCCTGGGCCCCGAGGTGGCTGGGCTCGCAGGTCCCCAGAAACATGACTTCCACTGCTGGCCAAGGCCTGCCACAGCCCTGCTCTGGCCACAGCAAGCGCCATCCTTGCCAAAGGCGTTGGGAGTGGGTGTTGGGGAGACAGCCCATGGGAACCGGTGGCTCCTCAGTCCCACCCGCCCTCACCTCACCACTGCCAGTATAATAGGCGTGGCCACAGGGGGTGCAGGAGGACACAGCATTTCTCCTGCCCTGGGCACACCTCGAGAAACACTTCTGGGGGGGTTACTATCCCCTGAAGACTGCTTTCTCTGGGACCGTTACTTCACTTACTTATTCATAAACCTGTAAGGCCCACCCCATACGAGCAAGAGGAGTAAACCTCAGTCCCTTGCTTCACTCAAGAACTCCTAATCCAGTCAAGGGGACCAAACAACCCAGAAAGCTAATAACAGTGCAGGAAATGTCCAGAGGTTCAGAGCAATCACAAGACTTCTGGGAATAGGTGACCCAAGACAAGCTAAGGAAACAGGAAGGCTGTTCCTGGAGAAAAAAGGGGGCTCCTTTCTGCTCCTACCTGCCTCTGGTAGCCCCCGATGAGCCGGAGCGGGCTAATGTGTGTGACGGAGAAGGAAGTGAGGGTCAGCACTGGAATCCCCCAGGATTTAAAACTAGAAGAGACCCTGGGAGAATCTAACCTGACCTCCTGTACAATGCCCTGCCTGCCACCGCTGGGCACTAGACACCTGGTACCCCAGGCAGCACCCATGACGGCTCATGTGCTTGGGGAAATGTCAGGTGCCATAGTGGCAAAAATGAGGCATCTGACCAAGCATGGCCCTAGGCAGAGGGCAAGGAGGGCACTGAGAAAAGGGGGCTGCACCCCACGGCTACTGCAGATTTTCAGCTCTGTGCCTCATTTCCATAACTTGAGCAAGTGGGGATGACTAAGCACACTGGCACCTGGGGACGGAGGGATGGACTCCATTCTCTTGGGAGGAGAGTGCCTTTGGGTGGCAGCCTCTCACCTGTCTCGGGTGTGGGCACCACACAAGTCCAGCAAGCAGTGAAACGGTTCTTTTTCTACCTAAGTGTTACTCATTCTGTGGCCAGGCAGGATGGAAGGGCCCGCGGAAGCCCCGGGGCAGGGCAGGTCCCCTGGAAGCAGGACTCCCACTAGCCCTCTGCTGAATACCACCCAACTCTGCTTCCACCAGAGGGCATGGGGCAGACAGGGTGGGGAGAAGGCTTTGGGCTTATGAAAAAATCAGACTAAGGCTTAAATCCTTCTGGAAATGTCATTTTCCCTTGTGAAGCACATTCTGCAAGAGAACTGACCAAACACCCTGACACATCTGACATTCACAAATAGGGGTGTTTGGAAGGAAAGACATATTCTCGTGCTTGGTCTTCTACTCCCCTGAAGGAGAGACATCAGTGAATAAAGCCCTATGGAAATGCTTGCCTGTGACCGCCAGGTGTGAGACCTGCCAGGCGCCTCGGAAGGGGTTTGATCAAGGCCTCCTGAGGACTTCTGTGACTGGCCCTGTATTTAATAATGGGGGACAGAGGGGTGCTAAAAAAAGGGGTGCAAAGAGCTCACTCACTCCAGAAGCAGTGCACAGACGCTGTAACTCCTCTGATACAAGGTAGAAAGCAAGCAGGTGGGAGTGGGCCCCAGATGCCAGGTTCAGGCTGTCCAACATGGAAGTGATGGTGGCTTGTCTATGAAGTGGCAGTGGGGCTGGAGAGCAATTCTGGAAGGCCGGGGGAAGCAGACTGACAGGAGTTGGTAACTTACAGGCTGGGAGACAGGAGTGGGAAGCCTGGAAAGGAAGGAGGTGAGGAGCGACCTCTGAGCTGAGCCAGGCCTTGAAGGCAGACGGGTCCTCCACAGGCTGAGTATGAAACGGAGTGGGGGTGAGCAGCAGGGACAAAGTCTGAGCAAGGGCGCGGAAGAGGCAGGGCAGCCAAGGAGACTGACCACTGGTGTCAGGCCATGTATGGGCAGCCAAGAGGGAAGAAAAAGAGAAAGTAAGGTATCCGTGCTGTATTTAATCTTTGAAAATACCTTGTCATCTTGACTGAGCATTCCATTCAACTGCAGAGATTTTTTAAAAAACCTTTGGCCTAGATATTTATCATCATTTCTGACAGGTGCTGCAGTGTCTACGGCCCCAGAGGGCGATGGGTAATCAGTGTTAGATAACAGAGCCTGTGCTCTATTCATTCAGGCAGCCAGAGACTAGAGCTGAAAGCAACTCATGGGTCACAATTTATACCAGGGAAAAAACCCTCCCATGAATCTAAGTCAGATTCATGGCCTCTGCAGCTTTCTCCATTCTCCATGCACCAGGCAGGTCAGAATCTCAGCTGCCGTGAACCAACTGCGGGGATGGACAGCCTTCCTGGCAGAAGAGACATAAAGAGGGAGCTGGCCCATGTGTAATTGGGCGTATAAATAACCGCAGCCTGCTTCCCGATGGAGGGCTGCTCAAACATATGGGGGGAGGGTGGGAGGAGGGAGGGAAATGACGGCCTCTGAAGTCAGAACATCAGGGTCTGAAGTCAGGCTCGTGCTTCCTCGTGTGGTTTTAGGCAAGTCACAATTTCTCTGGACCTCATTGTCATCATCAGGAAGATGGGTGCAATCAGCCTCTTGTGTAATTGCTATTCTCATAAAGTTCAAATTAGATACAAGTGCTAATTAAAAGCAAGAGATGACCATTTTTAACAAAAAAGCCCACCATCTCTGAATCCTGGCATAATCATCCTCACTCAGCATGCCCTTTGGAGGGCTGTGGTTATGTCAGTAAGTCCTTCCCAGAGGAGACAAGGAGTAAAGGAGAAGCGATCCGTTATTTGGCCAAACTAGATACATGCCATCACTGAGGTCCAATCTCTAATTCCAAACACCCTCCCATAGCTACTACCCCCAGGCCCGGCAACATCTGCCTCCATCTGGTGAACCAAGATGTCTGCCTACTTCCCATCCTGGCGTGTGAAGCAGTAGCACCTGCCCAGAATGAAACTGCCACCAGCAAGTGGGCACACCACCCTCATCATCCTCACAGGATTCTCAGGACCCCAGGGATGTGGCTTTCAAACTGTGCCCAGCAAAGCCCCACTAGGTGGCCAAGAGGAGGACAAAGGGAGCATCTACTTCATCTCGAACTCCACTTGTAGAGTTTATATACCGGACTAGCGGCGGTTCTCAGCCCTGGCTGCTAAGTGGAGTCACCTGATTAGACTTTTAAAAAATGCTGATAGTTTGGTCCCACCTTAGACAGACTGAACCAATTCTCTGCCAGCCAAATTTGAGCGTAAATATTTTAAATGTTCTCCTGGTGATTCTAATATGTAGCCAGGGATGAGAACGTTTCTGGGTAATGGGTTCTTTGGCAAAAAGAAAGAGAAGAGAGAAGAGAGAAGAGAGAAGAGAGAAGAGAGAAGAGAAGAGAAGAGAAGCGAAGCGAAGCGAAGCGAAGCGAAGCGAAGCGAAGAGAAGAGAAGAGGAAAAGAAAAAAGAAGAGAAAAGAGAAGAGAAGAAAAATCCTATTCTTATGGTCCCATAGTGACTTATTTCAGTGTCCACTATGTGCCAGGTGCTGGAGGATGCAAAGATAAACGCGTTTCTTTTCTATCCTATTATTTCTATATCTATTTTTCTTTCAGTGTATAAACTCAGGGGAGAAGGACTTGTGTGTAGGTCTGTTTCGCCAGGACGAGGAATGCACACAGCACTGTCTAAAAAGGTATTTAGTAGGAAAACTTAGCTTATGTTTACAAGGTCACTGTCTAATGCCCTCAGGAGACCTAAGACACACTGTAACAAAGAGCCACCCAGAACATGCAAATTACTTTCAAGAAGTGCCCGGGTTGCTGGATGCAAGACCAATGTATCCAAGGTGGAAGTACTCCTACACACCAACAATAACCAGTCAGGAAATGTACCAGGAAGATGATCTCACTCAAAGCAGCAGCAGACACTGAATTTCATAGAAAAGTTTCCTGAGTAAACTAAACCCTGTTAAGATCTGTGAGGGGAAAAAAACCCACGACCAAAAATCTATCAAATTAGGCAGATGACAGAAACTAGAAATCCAACAGATACAAATGGCTAAAACATCTTAATAGTAAAAGAATACATATTTTTATCTATCGAAGTGGAAGGAAAATAAAGCTTGATAATACCCAAAATGTCAACCAGGGCATAGGAAAATGGGCATTTTCATACTCTAGTGGGAAT